GAATGAATGAATGAATGAATGAATGAATGAATGAATGAATGAATGAAAAGCAAGATGACTGACATTTTAAAAAGTATTTCAGCAATTTATGCTAATAAATTAAATTACAATATCCCCATATGCTGTAACTATGGATTGAAGCCATACAATAATCCCAATCCACCAAGATATTGTTCAGATATAGAAGATGTTTTAGACCAGAGTAGTTCAGGATTTTTAGTTCGGCCCCACCCACCCACCAGCAATGCACAAAGGGTAGAATAGTGTATAAAGCTAACGTGAGGCCTCCTAAGATAATGGTTCATATATAACTTTCCAAAATAACATGTATTGTTATAGATGGATATATTGGCACTTAACCAAGCTGAGCTTGTTTCACTCCCCCCACCCATACTTACTGAAATAAAATCCTCTCTCCCCACAGACAAACTGTAGTGTGTCCACTAGCTCTCCACCACAAAGAGTTTCGGCAGGACTGTATGCAGAGACGGAATCAATCGTATATGCCAGGAAAGTGAGCATAAGCAGCAATATCCGCCGGGAGATGCACATCTTCTGTAAGTGAAAGAGAAAAATCCATCATGTTAAAAACTGTTCCTATAAGTGACCTCTAAACTAGCAGGGGTTAGAGCAGGGGTCTCCAACCTTGGCAACTTTAAGACTTTAAGCAAAGCTGGCTGAGGAACTCTGGGAGTTAAAGTCCACAAGTCTTAAAGTTGCCAAGATTGGAGACCCCTGGTTTAGAGTACCTCCACAGCCATTGTCTACCATCCTAATGAAAAATGAAAAGGCAGACCCATCATAGCAGGCCAGATATGGATCAGGTACACCAAACACAGTGCTTGGACAATACACATAAAAATTAATCTTTATAGCAATCTATAAGCATAAAGAAACATTTTCTTTCCAATGTACGTTCTGAATACCATAACACACTAAAAAAGAAAGCAGGCAAAACACAGCTTCTCCTGATTCAATTAATAGAAATCAAAATACTAAGCCGGTTTCATTCTTTTTCTGTTTTAGAGGTCCAAATCCAGATGTAGGTCAGCAAAGATGGAAACAGCTGCCTGTATTTCCAGGGAAGATGAGGTGACAAAGAAAGAAAAACGATAGACCTCTGGTTCCTCCCTGAGCCCAAGGAAAGTCATGAGCTGGAGTCTGCGTGAAAAGAACTTTGTCTGCCCCTTGATGAAAACTTATCAGCAATTCTGTGGTGATTAATTTTTAGTTTCAAAACTTAACTACAATCATTCAAAGCACCCTATTTTGTTGAAACTTACAAATCAAACTGGCAGGTGTAATTTTAGAAAAAAAAACTGCCACCACATGTGAAAGAATAAGGAAGATTTCCTCTCCAGTTTACAAGAATGTTGCATCCCTATACAAAATGAGAATTGGTGAATCTGCTAATTGCTAAAGTGCTGTAGCCCTACATCTAGGCAGCTTTAAATCAGACTAGCATTATTGTTTTAAAAGAAAACATACCAGCACTCTAACAACTACATCAGAACTACATCAGGCAGATAGGATGCCCTTTCGTTGAGTTGGACGAAATCCCATAGTGATTTAGTTCAATCTATTCCTGGCTTAGTCTCAAGTTTTCTAACGTAACCTTCGGCAGAGTTTCAGGCCAGCTTTCTATCCATTAATCTATTCTCCCTATCCTGGATTACTAACTTTCCAGTAATTTATGGTATGTTAAGTTGTTAGTGCAGTGTCCCTCAGCCTTGACAACTGTAAGATGTGTGGACTTCAACTCCCAGAATTCCCCAACAAGCATGATGGCTGGGGAATTCTGGGAGTTGAAGTTCACACACATCTTAAAAGTTGAGAAACACTGTTCTAGTGGGAGAAGCAACCTGACTTTTTAAACCAATTAAGAGTCCCACTATATTCAGAAATTTCCTATACCAGGCAGAGAAAGTGCAACAATGGTCCAAATATACTTCAGTTTCTTACTTAAAACAAATAATCCAATTTGGATTCAAACCAAGCATTATTTCAGAATATTCAAGTTAAATGGTTTTTCCCCCTTATATGCAGGCTTATATTATAAAACGAAACAAAAGGGGAACGGGATAGAGCCAATCCTATTTTCCATCATCTCAAGTGACAATCTTCCTGCTTGTTTTTTGTAGTTAAAGGTTCAATTAGATTAATTCACAATTTAAAACAATCATTATTGCATATTAAAGTGTTTAAACATTGTTATAAGAAAAATACAGAAAAATGGTTTAAAACTGATTAAATCTAAACATTCAGAATCAGTTGGAAAAGAATCTAACAATCTAAATTAAAATTTGTATAATTCTGGAAAGTATATATTTTGTAGAATTTACAGATTTTTTTAAGAGGGCAGTAAGCTGGAGAGAGATGGACATGTTCAGCATTTTGGTGTTGCTTTCCTATTTTCTGATATTAATTTTCTCTTTCTAGGATCAATTCCTCTGTGTGTGTGTGTATGATAAATTGAATCTATACTACTGTATGTGTGTGGGGGTGTGTGTAAATATTGTTGAGTATAGATTCAATTTATTTTCTTCCGTTGGCTTAGAACTAAATATTTGACAGGAAAGTCACAATCTACCTGTGTTGTTTTATTAAGCTTATTGCATTGCTAAATGGAGGATGTTTGGGCTATAAACGTAGTGAAAGAAGACGAAAGTAGAAGGGGGGAAAGGCAGATTTATTTCCCTCCCTTTGCAACATTTCTCTAATTAAGCCACCTCTTCCAAATTTGCCCCGTAGAGCAAAATTCAATATATCCTGCTTTTCAAGAACTAATCCTGTATGTGCAGGTAAAGGTTGCTGCTATTAGAGGAAATGCTAATTAGATACACAGCTTCCAAGGATTATCCGTGTTTTCTGATTCATGCAGCAAACAGGCTCCAAGTCTACCAAGTATGTCCAAAGAACCCAGTAAGCTAGTAGTAATCAGTGATGCACCTTAGCATCAAATGCTGTGTTATCAAACGCTGTGAAAATGTCACAAACATGTGTGCTCAGCTACCTATGCACTTGCATTTGATCACATAGGCATATAAATATTTAGACTGCTAAATATGCAACATGTGCTGGGTAACATTTATGGTCAACCAGGAAGCCCAGCCCTTATTAACTTTTGCCTCCTGGGCAAGACTCAAAAGTTAGTTTAACCACTTTGTCATTGACCCTGTCCCTGTCCATTTCTCATAAAAGATTGCTTAATTTTGATATTTGGCAAAATCCATGTGTGTCTGTGTATATATACACACACTTCATTTTTCCAGGAGGACTCAAATCTGGGAAATCTATCTCTTGTGTCCAAAGTTGATAGATACTAGCCACCTCCCCTTGCGAGATCTATTACTCCATCTCTCAAAAAAAAATTGCTCTTCTCACCTGCCTATAAGGATTATACAAACAAGAGGTGATGTGGTACATGTTCCTCTGCCAACAATGTACAGATAGATGCCCCATTATAGCAGAATGTTGGCACTGCTCTGGAGAGATAATCACATGAACCTTCTTTTGACTTGTGAAATGAAAGCAGATCAGTGAGGAAAGAGGTGATTCCCTATTAAAGTTCTTTAATACTACTACCCCAGTCCTCACAACCAACTCTATTTTTCTTCAGCTCCTTCTTTTCTTTGAAGAGGAAACCTATGATATTTTTAACAAAGGCAGCCAGAAAGCTAATCCCAACCCATTCTTATGCTGTAATTGCTTACCCAAACTTTGGGTCAGAAGTTAGATAGTTTTAGGACACTATTGTCAGCAATGGGGATTAGATATTCTTCCAGTTTGATGTTAGAAAATCTACTCTCATTCTTTTTTCATTTTAAAATGTTGACCCACAGTTAGCACATATTAAACCCCCCCCCCCCCCCCGCTATTTGATAAAATAAATTATTTCTTTACTTATTTATAACAGTTTTGATATATGGCTCCTCTACACAAACGCTGCATAACACAAAGCTGCTACCCCTTAAATGAAATAATAAGGTAAAACCTATTTTAATTTACATCTGCTAGTAAAATAATATAACAGTTCTGAACCATAGTAGATATCCAGCCTCTAATGGATGCTTCTGGAACCCGATGCACATTCTACTTTTTATTCTGTGAGCTTTCCTCCCACTTAAAAATGCTACTCTTTACCTTCGGTCTACCCCCTCCCAATTATCATCAGAGGTCAATGTAATAGGAAACAAGGCCAAAAAAAAGGACAGCTTTTTAACTGCTTAGTGCTGGATTCCTTTTTTTCCCTCCCCCAGATATATCTTCTGCAAGCAACCAACCAATCTCGCATCTTTACTCCACTGAAGTTAAGACAATGCAGTAGTAGAGATAAGAGAGTAGGAGGTTTAGCAGTCAATGCTGCTATGGGGCCTATTTGTAGTCAACTCATAGTATACCACAGAAGTGAAAGAGAGTTTTTTTTAATGTGATATCCTTCAAATATTTTGCTGAGGAAGTTGTTACATGGTCCCATCAGGATATTGATTTAGGAAATCAAATCCAAGTCCATATTTTACTTCCAGCAGATGCTCTTTCAGCACTTTGGGAAACTAAGGTGTTATTGTAAGATGGAACTAAACCTAGACAGGTTATTTTCCATGTTCACCCAAGATCAGCGTGATAGATAGAGCTTTTTAGGAAATTGAACAGATGCCTTAACCTCAGTGCTTCAGAAAACAAATGCATAACCTTTGGGAATTTCTCTCGCTCTAAGCAAGTCACTGGGTTGGAATATCAAGTGGTCTACACTTGGTCTGCACATGATCTCTTCATATTAATGTAATTAAGCCATTCAATTAATAGAAACTGAGCATGGGGGAGGATCTATTTGCCCCATGAGGTGGTAGATAAGTAACATAGATTTTAAATTGTTGAGGTTTAGACAGTTACATTTCAACACCACTAAAAGTTGATATACATAGACATGCACATTTTCAGGCACCTCCAGGGGAATCAGAATTGACAATCTCCCCAGTGATATTAAATTCTTGCACATTTGAAAAGCAAGCACACATATAAGTTGTTCTAGGTCATGACTGATCAAAAGGGTGCAAATGGTGACAATTCCCATAAACAGAAAAATTAAAAGCAGGGGTTGAATCAGCAAGGTAGATGCTTTCTCCATGTGTGTTTGTCTAGCTAGTTTCTGAAGGTAATCTCCTGAAGACAATTTCCCAACCCTACTGAGAGAAAAATGGAAGGGAAGAATAAGTTTTATGTGACAGAGGGTGGATGGAGTATTCCAAATCACTGCTTACCACCTCTACCCTGAAGGTTATACGTCCATCCACTCAGCTTTTTATAGAACAATTGGCTAAGAATTCTCAGGACATTATCTTCTGCCATCTCACACAGACATATATATATATATGTATGTATGTATGTATGTATGTATGTGTATGTATGTATGTATGTATGTGTACACACACACACACACACACACATACACACACACATGGAATAGGCAGCAACATGTTTTAGTGTGGTTTACTCCTGTTCCAACTTTCCAGCTAAATTGTTTCATTCCCCTCCCTCTCAGTCTTCTCTTCTTACCTTCCCACAAGCCCAGAAATTTAG